ATGCCCAGCTAAAATAAAATAAAATACAGATAAAATGCTCTGGCAAGTAGAGGGAGGGAAATAAAGAAACACAGATTCACTGCAGAATCCGTGTGCACATTCCAAATTTAAGGATTTATTGTGTGTGTTTCTGTTGCTTTAATAAAGGTATTTATTGTGCACTTTGACACGACAGTTTTGTTCAATCACATACGAAGTGATGGGAAAACCCTGTTGCTCCATAAAATTACAAAGAATATTTTAACATTCTTTTCTCATACTGTTAAATTTTCATATATATTAAAAATTGATAGCATTTGAATGAAAATACAGTAGAAATAAACATTCCAGTCATTTAATTTACGTCATGAATTATAAACATGGTGTATTTTTATTTGTGACTAAACAACGTCGTGTTCTGGAAGCACAAAAATCATGAAATATTCATACAAACTACAATTCTTTATTTTAAGCTCTTTAGTTATAGGATTTTCACAGTGTGCTGTAAAATCATTGTCACTAACCAAAAACCTCCCCATCATTCTGATGTGCTTTGCAGTAGGCAGGGTCTGATTAAAAGCTTTGTTCTTTCGGGATAGTTGTACAACTTACACCTTGAGGACACCACATTAATATCTTAATTTGATAATACAAGGGCATAATTTAGGCCAGATGGTGCTAGTGTAGATGTAATTGTCTCTCTTGCTGTCAAGGCTGAGGTGGATTATGTGTGTCTGATCTCAGTTTCCATTTCCAGACCTGTCCCTGACCAGCAGGGAACAGCATCATTGTAATCAAAAGATGTCCCAGGCTTGTTCCCAATCTATTATAGACAGGCAGTGACATCCTCCTTTTCCTACAGATACAAAGAGGCAACATAAAGGATTTGGAATCTTACATGCAACGGTTTCAGGTACAAATTGGTTCAGAAAACAAATTTTACCAGTAGAGTTTTTATTAGAATAATCAATCTAAAATTCACTAAGCACTTTGGGGCACTTTAAATATTTTTATGGGTTTTATCCTCTATAAGGTCAATGCCATTATCACTGTGGGACATCCCTTGGTAGAGGTGTTTGGATCAAGTGTTTACTGTATTAGACCTTGAATCATAATTCAAACAGAGCAAAACACTGAGAAGCTGTCCTGGCTTCACTGAAATCTGAATTTATTTCATGCTGCAAAACCAATAATAGTGAGCTTCACTTGGTGTTAGATAAAATCAGAAGAACAAGGGTTCACTGATAGTCATTACATGATGCACTATTTCATTTTGTTAATACAAAATATAAAATTTATGCTTTTAGTGGGAGAGACTTCACCCTTGCTATCAATTGCCAATGAAGTTATTAATAGTTGTAATGTGTGGGGAAGCTTGTAAGGCACTAAACTAGATAGAAAAAAAAAACCTGTTTAAAAAGGTGATTTGCTGACTGAGAAAAGATAAAAAAAAAAAAAAAAAGGAGAAAAATTGGGAAAAGTCTAAAAAAAATGTTACCTAACTGTGCTTCATAGAAGAAACTGATGAAACACTCTCATAAATACATGGGGTATTTCCATTCAAAAAGAGAATTGGAAGATGGGTCATGCCATGCTGTCATATTGCTTAATTTTAGGCATCTGGCAGGGTGTATTTAAGGGTAGGAAGAGAACAATTAACCAGTATCATACAATTAGTTGTGATATGACACTAAAGCTCAGCCCAAATGACTTAACTTGCATCTATGCTGGCAAAAACATGAGAGTAACACCTAAAACTGAGCTTTTTTTTTTTTTTCCCTTCTGCAGCTGCAGTGAGATCAACTCAAGCCCTTAAGTCCTGGAAGCTCCATTTTCCTTCTGTCTTTCCTCATTTTGCTTCTGTTTTTCCTCATTTTTACTTCTGTCTTTCCTCATTGCACTGTAAACCCTGTAGCAATTTGCACACCCTGGGAATGATCCTCTATTTAAGCTCAGTTTTTCGTTGCTCTGGCCCTGCTCCAAGTGAAAGTAAACCACACTTGGTCAAAATTATTCTTCAAAGGTTAAGGAGTTTCTGCTGCTCACACTTCTCATACCTGTTTTATCAAACATTGCATATGACAAACAAGAACTTGTAGAAAAATAGTCTTATGCAATAATTGTGCACGTGCTCCTGGTGTTAAGCTCAGTATAAATTATCTAAAGTCAATCTTGAAAAACTAAATTGCTTAAGTTTTTAAATTAACACTTTATATTAAAATTGGATTTGCTGAAAACATACTGTAACTCAAACATCCATGCCATGCATTGTCAAAACTGATATTAATATTTTCATTAAATGATCTGAGTACTTGCTTCTGATTGTAACCATTTCTGTTTCCAGTTTCAGCTATCTCAAAGGCAAGTATTCTCCCTGAAGTACCTATTTATTTTAGGAAGGAATAAAATTAGGATCTCAATCTCTGTTCATGTTAGAAAAAGCTGAGAAGTCCAGAAAAGGACAGTGACCAGTGTGCCATAGCCTTATTTAGGTGATAAGGGAGGCTACAGGTACTAGAATTCACCCAAATAATTATGCCTATTATGTATTATGCAGAGTCAATGGAAATTATTAGGACAGACCACTGGTATTCCTGATGCAGAGGGATTTGGAGCCAATCCCTTAATTCAGGCTTCTATAAAAGCAGAGAAGTCCCTGTATTCATGTGCCTTCATATCTGTTACTAACCTGTCCTTTTAATGTCAGAGCAATCATGGAAACACCATTCCAAAACTGCAGGGTTCAATTACAAGGCAGAAAATCCATTTGATATATCAAGACTCACGAGAGTCTTGATATGACACTTTCTATCACTGCTTGAGACAGGGGGATCAAAAAATGCCCTCACACATTCAGAAATCAGCTGAGCCAAACAATCTGTTCAGCAGAAGAAAGAATTTCGTTTTGGTTTTATTACTTTTCCTTTTATCTTCCACTTATGGAGCATGATGGTCTTTAGAGTAAATCAACCAATATTCACAATTAATTATACACCAAGGGAAATGCAGCAGCTGCAGGGAATCTTGTCTCAATATATATGGATAGAGACAGGTAAAATTTCGATGCTTTCCTGAGTTATTACTTTGGGCTCCATTCTGATGGAGACCATGATCTTTTGGAGACTGGAAAAATCCATCTGCAGGAAAAAAGTCTCATTTAACTGCCTCAACACTTGTGTTTACTGATAATGCCACTTTTCCATGTCAGCTGGCTGCTCTGTGACACTGAAAGGCATCTCTCTGTTAGTCCCTTACTTTCCACCCAGCTCACCTTGAATTCTTCTGGATAAAGGAACAAAACCAGTGTAAACAACATCTTGGGCCACACATTGTAAACTGTGTTCCAAGGAGTCACTGCAGAAATGGAAATAAGCTCCTTCCTCCCAGTGTTCCCTCAGGTGCTCCCACACTTGGGTCTGAGTTCACTCACTGCTGTAATTTCCACAAGGAGAAGAATAACAAGGACAAAACTATTATTTTTTGGGGAGGATATTTTTATAATTGGAAGAGAAAAACACCTTCTTGGTACTCAGCTTTTACATAAAAACTAGGTGATATAACATTGCACTTGTACCCAGGTAATTACACATAACTTGGAGTGGAAAGTTGTGTCACCCAGTTTTTTATGTAAAAGGAAAGGAAAAAGGAAAGCAATTCCACTTTTCTTTGTTGTAATTTCTGCTGTTCAATTAGACTTGGCAGCTCACCGAAATGTTCAGAAGAGCAGAGTAAAAATGTGTTGATGTAATGACTCTCACTCATTGGAACAGTTTAGTTTTCTACACTCCTTTCCAAACCCTAATGTTTCCATCAAAGAGGTTGATTGATCCATTTATTTACAGGTTATGACAACCACTTGCGAAAAAAAAAGACACAGAAAAAAACAAAAACAAAAAACAAATGCACAAACAAAAACCAACCAACCAACCAAACAAACAAAACCAAACAAAAAACCCAAACCAAACCAAAAAACCGACTAACCAACCAACCAAAAACAAAAAAACAACCCAAACAAAACAACAACAACAAAAACAACAAAAAAAACCCAAACCCAAAACCAAAACAAAACAAAAAACAAACAAACAAACCAAACCAAAACAAAATCCAACAAAAACCCCAACAAAACCAAATAAAACCCCTCAAGTGCAAACACTGGGAATACAAGTTTATTTTCAAACTTCTGAATGTTTTACAACACTGGAGAGCAAAAACAGTCACACCTAAAAAAACGCTCCTAGAAGTCTCCTTGTCCATCCCTTGAGGGTCTCATTCTCTTTCTGTGCAAAAGTTGGCATTTCTTTTTAACTTCTTTGCAAGGAGCAGTTATTCCTTAATGATTATCACGTGGAGCCTTGGCCTTCCCAATGCCTCCACTTTGGCTTCTCTGTTATCAGAAATATTCAAAACTGCAGATACTGAAATAACATCAGAACATGAGAGTGGTTTGGGGGTTTTTTTTTGGTGAACTTTGAATCTTTTTTGCTACTAAAGAGACAGTATGAAAAGACAACATAAGAGAACATTTGTAGCCTTTGGGTTGCTGTTCAATAAGACTTTTGGCTTCTTATTTCCATGTTTACTGAATCAAAACAAGGAGCAAAGCTTGAAGAAGCTGAATAGACTCCAACTCCCGTTGCATGAGGATTGAATTCCAGTTCCCAGAGCTGAAGGGTACTACTGATGTCCATTCCCTGGGTACTTAATTCCATATATTTATCAGTAAAAGCATAGAAGTGAATCAGAATAGCTGGTTTTTGTGTTTGCTGTGATGCAGAGTGTATTGATAAGAGAGTTATTTTGTGTTTAGAAGGCCAGGCAGTGTTTAATCTGTCACTACAATGCTTGTCCTGCAAAAGGTACCCCATGAACAGAACTGTAGAAGTGGAACCTCCTCCTATTTACTCGGCATGAACTGCAATCAGTATGTTTTTTGGGGTTTTTGGCTTATTTGTTGTTTGCTGGGGGGGGGAGTTTCCCTAATCAGGTTTTTATGTGTGATTACTCCAGATCCTGAGGCATCTTCAGCACACAGATGTGGTCATTTTTACTCCAGAGCTGGATGGCACAGTCCATCTCGTCCTCCTCCACACTGGCACGAGTCCACACCTCTTACCGTGCCACCTCCGGCCGATTTCTGTTTGCACCTCAAAACCAAAGGAGAAAGCTATTTTGTGGTTAAATGCTGCTTGGGAGCAGACCAGTGGGAAAGAAGCAACACAGAAACAGTGGTTAGAGAAGAAGAGGGAAATTTTTAGACATCTCAGTTCAAGTTAGTTCCCTTTCTAGCTGATGAAGTAGGATCCTCCAGTTTATCCGGGCTGTCCCACCATGTCCATCTTCCTGCACTGATGAAAACTTCCAGTGTGGCTGGCTCAGAGTTTGCCTCCCATGCTGACAAGGGTAAATGAACCCTACTCTACCTTTCAAGAATTAAGGACATATTGTGTGTAGTGATAGGACAAGGGAAAATGGCTTTAAACTGAAAGAGAGCAGATTTTGCATGTTATGAAGAAATTATTTGCTCAGAGAGTGGTGAGACACTGCCACAGGTTGCCCAGAGAAACTGTGGATGCCCCATCCCTGGAAGTGTTCAATGCCAGTTTGGACAGGGTTTGGAGCAACCTGGGATAGGGGAAGGTGTCCCTGCCCATGGCAGGGGGTAGAACAAGATGAACTTCAAGGTCCCTTCCAACCTAAACAATTCCATGATTCTGTGTGAGCTGATCCAGTTCTGTGTTCCTACTTAATGACCATGGGCACAAAATTCAAAGCTTGTTATTCCAGCTGTCACACAGTTAAATAAATGCAAAAAAAAACCCCTCCCACTTCCAATTTAACTTACCTGGTTTCCATTTCAAGCCTGTAGCCTCAGTCCACCTTCCTCCTCTGAACTGGAAAGTCTATCAACACTAAGCCTGAGGTCTCTAACTCCAACACTCTAAATCAGGTTCTCCACCACTAGAATATTTTCTCAGCAACTTTCTTTTAATCTTCTCCTTTTTTTTAAAGTATTCCATTGAAAACTTTTCTACTAATGGTCTCACCAACATTACCTACACAATTAAACATTTTTGCTCCACATCACCTGCTCTTCCTCAGTTTGTTAAGGGGTGTTGTCTTGTTTCCATCTGCTTCTAGAAAAGTATGATCTGCAGCAAGTTTCTTAACCAACATTCATCAATTTGTGGCTGAGAAATAATTCTACTTTGCTATTTAAGATGATGAGGGGAAAGCCAGCAGCAAGCAGGAGAGACTTTTGCTTTCTGTTGTTGACAGCTCTGTATGTCATGTACTGGCATGTTCACAGAAACATAGAGTGGGTCCAGACCACCCACTAAAGCCTCCTGTCACATCTGATTCTTGTAAAAATGTGCCTTTCCAGATGTTTAATGGGAAGGAAATTTCTAAATTGAAGAGTTGTGTGTCTGGAATGTCAAGCTGAACTTCAAGTTGTGTCTATAGTTAGAAGGGATTAGGATTGTTAGTCAGTATAGTCAATAATCCATAGATATAGGCAGCATAGACAATAATTCACAGCCATAAACTCAAACAGAAGGCCAAGAGGTGTTAATATATTTGAAAAGATTCAATTTAATATTTCAGAAATTTCTGATAAAATTCAGGAAATCTGGACTGTGGCACATGTAAGTAATTAAATACTGTTTGAAAGCCTAATCAGCCCTAGACTTTAAACTTGGAAAATGAAGATTTGGTCAATACAGCCCAGGGAGTCTGGAGTGATTAGGGGCAGGATTCACCTCCTAAATACACCTTTGACACTCCAGTGGAAGTCCTTTATGAGGAGGGAGGGTGGGATTATATGAAACAGGACTGTCTCTTTTTAGGAGCTGCAGGCAGAGTCCAGCAGAGTCCTAGTGCAGTCTGAAACTGAACCCCATCATACCCTAAAATAGCTTCCTCAGCTACCCTGGAGTCAGAAAAGAAAAGGAAATTCCAGGGTTTCAACATATTCTAAAATATGGAGGATAAACTTTTTTGTTTCTTATGTAATTCATTTAAGATTAATTCTCATCCCAACATCTAGACCATAAAAATGGATCTGGATACTAAGATAAATCGAATTATTCCTGTCCCGTCTGCAGTAAAATTCTGAATTATATATTCTAAACAGAAAAACAGTTTTAGCAACATGAAAATACTGAAAAGCTTCAGAGGCATAAGAAAAACCCTTAAAATAGTATTTAATTATGGGGCAAACAACCTCAATTTTAATTCCAATTTAATCATAGACCTTTGGTGGATGGAGATCTTTCTGCATTGCTGCAGTAGCTTGTGCTTTTAGGGGATTTCCAAACCCTGCTGCAGGGCAAAAATGTGAAGAAAGGATAAAAAATACTTGAGGGGTAGAAAAGTAGTAAAAGTTGATTTCTCCACTAGATGGCTTCATTCCCATGAAGATAATTGAGCTGAAATCCATGGACCTTGATTCCCATGTTAACAGACAACGCCGAGAAACTGCAAGATTTGGTTATCTTCTTGTATGAAACTGATGTTTGTGTTGTGTATATTTGCCAATGAAAGCAATATTGTAGAGGATATAATTCCCTTACCTCTTGGTTCAGGAAACAGTAGAGAACTGCTACAATAAAGCCCTGAGAAAGACCAGAAAAAAAAATAAATTTGGGTGTTAGCAAAGTTTGAAAAAGCCACTGTCATTACCTGACTTCACTACGTGAATTAATGTGTATCACTAGAGGTGGGAGGATTACTATAAATTGAAAGATATTTTCTGTATCTCCAGTAAAGCTGAACAGGCAGATAAACACCTGGTAAGTGGCATTTAGTTGAAGTCAGTAAAACAATACGAATTCACAAGAACAGATGATGTGGCAATTGAAATTCTCCCACGACATATTTACAAACGTATCATCCATTCTCCAGCCAAAAACACTCTGAATTAATTCTTTACACGTTATAAATCAGTAAGGAAAAATGGACTTCAGAAGGAGATCCATGGATGGAGCTCATCCAGCTTTTCAGTCAACTTCCCTGTCTTTGCAGTGTATCAGATGAGGTCTATTTTCTGCCTATTGAATCTGTTAAAATCTGAACTGAGATAAACTCAGGACAATCCCAGAAGGTCAAAGGACCTCCATGAGCAGATACCAGCCCAACCCCTCACCCTTTTATTAATTAACTTATTCATTAAATTGTTCATTAACTCAGTGAAGGTCCTCTCCCTGTACAGAGGGTCGGGATTAAGACGGGCAGGGTCTGTTGGACAATGGATTCAATCCTCAGGAGGACCAAACCAGCCCAACTGCTGGATTTTTGGTGATTCTGACTGACAAATGATGCCACATTCCCTTGTGAGGTTTGCTGGGATTCCCACAGCTGCTTCTTGGAGACTCTGAGCTGCAGCACAGGGACAGGGAGGGAAGCAAAGGATAGTTGGGTGCTATCCTTTTTAGAAGCTGCAGACAGAATCCAGCAGAGTCTTAGTGCATTCTGAAACTGAACCCCAGTCACACCCTAAAATAGCTTCCTCAGCTACCCTGGAGTCAGAAAAGAAGGGGAAATTCCAGAGTTTCAACATATTTTAAAATATGGAGGATAAACTTTCATGTTTCCTATGTCATTCATTTAAGATTCATTCTCAACACAACATCTAGACCATATAAATGGATCTGGATACTAAAATAAATGGAGTTATTCCTGTCCCACCCAAGTAAAATTCTGAATTATACATTCTAAACAGAAAAACATGTTTATCAACACACAGAAATACTGAAAAGCTCTTAACTCAGGTAGCCAAAGTACCTGGGGGATATGTCAAAGCAGCCTCAGGAGCTGTCCTGGCTGGCACCAAACTCCTCGAGCTGTCCATGCCCTGTGTGCCAATTCAGAGCAGTTGGGGGCATCCACCAAATATTTTGCAGGAGGGAAAGTGATGTGACAGGATGGAGCTCTGCATGTGCTGGCACATGCATCAGGCACTATTCCATGTTTATGTTTGATTATCAATTTATCCTTGGCCAAAAAATCACCAAGGGGGCTGCACCTGCAGCTTCAGTTGCCTCTGGATAATTTAACATCAGCCCAAATGAGCTTGTTAGTGAAGTCAGGGAAGGCATGTGGACTAGGACTCGTAGCTTGACTTTGACCCACCATCCAATTTACACACTCCTCTGAAAGTCTTGGCCTTGTATTTGCAAAGTCTGCAAATCTGCAGTCAAACCTAAAGCCAGGTAGGATGGAGGGAATGTCTTCAGGGATTGTGACCCAGCAAAGAACCATGAACCTGGTGAGGAGACACTGGATTCAGGACCCAATGACGTTTTGTGCCATCCCAGTTGTCATCTGGACACAAGATAAAATCAGAAAAACTGCCAAGAAGGAACTGAAGCCTCTGTGGTCACTTTACCTGGAAAGATCCAATGCAGAGCTCCAAGTAAAGCCGGACCCCCAGGCTGGTGTATTCCGGGAGGAAGTTGAAGACAATATAATGGGTTCCAAATAATGGAATTAGGAGCAGAGTTGCCCTTGAGAGACGTCTGGCACAGCACATGAGAAGAAGGAAGGTAACTTTATTTCCCTCAGTAAAGACTAATGCACAAAGTATGGCACAGTACTGAACAGAAGTGAAAAAACCCTTAATATATCTATATATATAAATATATGTAATAGAAATTAATATGCAGACTCCCTTTACAGGTCTCATATAGGAAAAAGCAGCTTAGAGGGTAATTTATCCTGCTCTAGATCAGACATCTAATGCAGATTCAATTAATGGTTTTCTTGTCTCACAGTTGATTTTAATTGGAAGGCAGATATCTGAACTCTTCTGAATATATTATATTGGTCTGTATTAGGTGAATTGAGTCTTATCCTTTGGTCAGTTTCCTTGGGAATGGGATAAGGTTGGGAATTTCTAAAATTTAATGCCAGTTAAACCGAGCCTGTCTGTGACACTGAAAAAGTACTTCTCTATTTAGAAAATATTATATAAGTTTTTATTATTGAAATAATTGATTTTTTGAAAATTGTACCGTACATTACCTGTACTGAGAAGAGTTATTGAAGTTGATTTGTCTAGGGTCTAGTTTTTTCAGCAAAATTCTGATGATGTTGACAAATAGGACAAAATTGACCTGTTCACAATATTTGGGAGAAGGGGGAAGAAGAAAAAGAAAATGAAAACCCTAATTTCTCATGTAAAACTTCTCAGTGAAAATCTGGGGTGGTTTAAATTTCATTTATAATGTATTGTGTGCAGTTTCAACGGTGTCAGTGTAAGGTTATTAATGTTATTTCTATTGGCAGCATTCAGGTGTGTAAATAGATTACATTCCTTCTTAAAGAAATGGCTGAAGATGAAAACTTGAGAATCTGACTTTGCTAAGCAAAATATTTTCATCGATACCTTGAGTGACTCTTTTACTTTTGTAGTTCATATCAGTTGGAGTTTCTTTTGAGATCACTACTGCATTAGGTTTTTGCTGATCTCTTTAGACATTGTTATTGGAACTTCTCTGGCTAAATATCTCTGCAGTGAGATACCTCCATCTGAGCTGATCACCCTGTTCTGCCTTTGCCAGCAGTGGAGAGCCAACAAAGCCTCAGGAGGTGTTGGGAACGACTCATCTCCTCCCAGAGAAGACGTTTATTTTAAGCCAGATGCCAAAAGCACAGATTTCTCTCTGTTGACTCTGAAGGAGTCTCTGAGGAGCATTAGCTCAGCTCCAAAGCTCGCTAGGGTCAAGCCTAACTTGCAAATCAAATTTTCTACAACTGCCATTTGGCATGGATCTATCCAAAGTCTGTGAGGCTGCTCGGTTCTCCACAATGAAAAGATTCTCCCTTATGCATCTCTACGTGTCCATAGACACCAGCTCTTCTTTGGGTGAGGCTGAATGCTCCATTTTGCCTAAGAACATCCCCATTTTACCAGAAACTCCAATCTCATTTTACCCATCAGTGATGCCTCGTGTACATTCCAGCAGAAAAATCATCACTGCAGTCCCCTGGCTTCTGATGTGGATGTCAGAAGGGGGAAAGTAATGGAGGTAGGAAGAAATGCAATAATTTATTGAAATATGGTGAAGTATGACCACAATTCGACTTGAGATTCTTTATTCATGTTATTTATGCATATCTTTAAAGCCCTTTCCAACCCAAACCATTCTATGATTCTATGTGCCTCATTTGCATGCAGCTGTCCTCCAAATAAATTAAGCTTTTAATAGCTGGTCTTAAGGTCCAGTAGCTGCTTTCTCAAAAACACTGCTTGGGTTTAATGACACGTGGGAGTAATTTTATATGATAATTCATTTCAAGCCCATCAGTTTATCCAATAAATGTCAGGCTCAAGAGTTATTATCACTGTTATCAGCTGTGAGCAGAAACCTACTGACCTTGAAAGTTTGTGTTAAAATTTATGGCTGCTTCTGAGGTTTTATGCTGAAAAATTGTTTTCAAATATTTTAAGGATGGTTCAGCTGCTCACTCACGATTAATTTCAATTAAGTGACAATTCTATGAAGGTTTTAATTTGTTTGAAGGATGTTTGCTTTGTAAGGGTGTCAGTTCTCTGCCCCTTTATAGTTTGCATTGTATGTAGGCAAGTTTACAGTAGAAATTCTACCATTCCTCTTCTCACATCTCAGCAAACAGTAACAAGATTTTAATTTAAAAGCCTTTTTTTTCTCCTAATTAATTGGCAAACTCAGAAGCACCTACCCCCACAGAAATTATAATAGGTCCTTTGATTAGCCACCAGTAAGGAGAACCTTCATTAATATCCCAGCATCTGCAAAACACAGCAAGAGTTTAGAAAAAGACAGGCATGTAATCACTGCAATAAATTTAGAATATAAATCAAGAACACAGAATAATGTAGGAAACAAGGACTTACGCCGTGTCTTCGAAGTAGAATTTTGCCAAAATCCATGTAAGAGTGAAAAGTGTAGGAAAACCTGTCAGAAATTTAAACAAAAATTGGGGTTTTCTGGTTTCATCAAATAATCCAAACCTTGTCCACTGAAACTGTGCTGTGATGATAGAAATCATTCATTTTCAGAGCTGGAGTCACCCTTTGTGGTCTCCTCATGTAAGAGGAATTGCTTTAAACTCAAAGTACAAACCTAAAAGGAATTCTTCTGATTCCCAGGGTAGAATGAAGCAAGTTATGTCTCGTTTGTCTCTTGAAGGTAGAAAGGGACACAGAAGCTGCTTTGCACATGATGTAGTTCTGTCCCAGAGGACTGAACTTGCAGCCTCTTGCTCAGATGAACCCATCTCACCTGTGTGCTCTCCCTGAAGGTGGCACTTGTATGCAGAGAGCACATTTAACCCCAGGTTTAAGTGGCAAGGGTGCTTTTTGCAGGACAAAATATTTAGGAATTGCCTTTACCAAATCTTAAAGTAATAATACTGTTAGCACTTTACAAACACAGAAGGTGATACACTCTATCTTGAGCCTTCTTAAAAAGGCTCCCTAAAACACCCAAAGTGATTCAGTTTGCCAAGTTGCCAGGCCTATATTAACTTTTGGTGGTAACATCCATGGATTGTCTCCCTCAACTGACCAAAAAATTCCTCTGGGTAAGTGTATTCACCTGCCATAAAGGAGTTCTCTGTTTTACACAGCAACTTGCTCTGGGCAGCCACTTAATCTCTGATTTCTGGGTCTCCATAAGAGTCTGAACACTCAGATTTATTCCAGACTCCACCAGACAGGGTGGGGGTGTTGCTGTTTCATACCTGACCTGTTATTTAGTGGATAGGGTTTTTTTATTCATAAAATTGCCAATGCATAAAATGGGTTGTGGCAACATTAGGACAACAAAAATGCCTTCTATGACTCCAGATGGACCCATTCTCAGGCTGTGTAGCTATACTCTGCATGAACAGGAGCAAGTCACATCTAACTTCACTGTCTGTGATGGTTCCTTAGAGGTGGCTGCATTTTCAGTGGGGAGAAGAAGGCTGAGAATGGATCTCTCCCTGTGGGTTCCCAAATGTACTTAATTTTCCACTTAATTCACTGGCACTTTAATCCTGTTCTTTAAAAAAAATGGGTTGTTCCTCACTAATATGCATGTAAAAATAAAATCAGAGCAATGCCTAAGTTAGGTAGTTAGGTAGATTAGATTCCACATCCAGTATTTTTAATGGGCTGGATCACAGGATCACAGAATCATGGAATGGCCTGGGTTGGAAGTGGCATTAAAGATCACCCAGTTTCAACCAGCAGGGACACCTTCCACTAGATCAGGTTGCTCAGAGTCCTATACAACCTGGCCTTGAACACTTCCAGGGATGGGGAGTCCACAACCTTCCTGGACAGCCTGTGCCAGGGCCTCACCACCCTCACAGGGAAGAACATCTTCCTTCTCCCATCACTCCCTTCCCTTGTGCATATTCCCTCACCAGCCTAATTTTAAGCCCCCATTAGGTACTGGAAGCTGCTCTAAGACCCCCCAAAGCCTTCTCTTCTCCAGGCTGAACTTGTTTAACATTTTGCCTTTCTTTAATTTCCTGGAAAAGCCTTACTTACCCCAGCCAAAGAGGACAAGCCACCAAAAATATCTTCTTCCATGAGAAAGGGATGAGAGCAGCAGACAGTTTAGGTAAAGAGCCTCCACCAGCAGCCACATGAAGTTGGTCATCATGAAGTAGTGACAGAAAACCACAGAGATCTTGCATTCAGTCTAAGGGACAGGACAGTCATAGTTTAAGGTGGATACAAGTGTTTGATCTGCAGCTGTAGCAGACATCTGTAATTCTGGTTGAGTTCTACAAAGAGCAAGGTCTCACTACTGCATGATGTTTAAAATGAGATCTTCAAATGCAAAATGGCTTTTTTGAGTGATAAGACTTTAACCATCATAATACTTTGGAACCTCCACTGTATTTTGCTTTATATCTCTGCGTCAGAAATGCAGCTTGGGCTCCCAAGCAGGTGATTTTTTTTCACAAATGCCCTGCTTTCAGTGTATCCTTAGTGTCAAATGTTTCTTGGACAAAGGTTCAAGAACCCATTTTCCTCCTTATACTCAACTCTAAACTTCTGTGTGGCCATGAGCAATGCAGAGGAACCATCCCACACACCTCTATTTGAAAGCCATTGCCAGGTTGCCAAGATTTTTTGATTGCTTAGTACCTGGAGTGTTTTGTGTTTTACAGGCCAGAGTTTCCAGTCAGAACATGAAATCCAAGATTTCCAGAAGAATCAGCTTTAAAAGTGGTTCTATGAGGCACTCAGAAATCTTCAGGTTTAGGCTTCAGGTTATAGAAAGGTAACAGTGAAATGATACTACTTTTTGCTATGTCAAAGTCTAAATTTGATTTACAGTACTACAAGACCACAAGTTGATGCTTTCAGAACATGAAAGGTTCACATTTATGGAGGCAAAACATACTGAATAAAAGAATTATATAACTTTCATTATAGGTTAGAAGGAAAAAAATAAGTAGTAGTAAAAAAGATCCCTGAAAATGAAACCATATATAAGCGGTGTGTAAAAATATCAAGTACCAGAGTATCCTACTTTTCATGTGCTTACTGTAGAGAAGCTGCAGTGATCAATGCCTTCCTCCTGGAAAAGGACAGCATCCTTAATGAAAATAGCAATAGCTTTCAAGATAAACGTGAAAAAGAGCTGCACATGGATATAATTCCTGGGACAGCGAAGCCTCCTGGAAGAAAAGAAGGGAGGTCTTTCTCAGCACAACTGGCTTGTGCTGGGGGTAATTAAAATAAGCAATAAACCTTTGTTTCATCTCATTTTCACTTCCAAACATATACAGGAAGAACACCTGCATCTGCTGAGGTCTTTCAGGCAGAGACAGAAACCTTCCTCGTGTGAAGCAATTCACCCACCGTCTGCACCTCAACCTCTTTCCTTGTTAGATGGAGGCCTGGGGATGTTTCTGGCCTGCCAAATTTAAAGAACCCGGAATTCCTTAAATTTATGTTTGTGCTCAGCACACCTGAGCCAGGCTTCTGGTTGGCATTATTTTGGGGCCAATCTCGCATTTGAGGAATGATCTTTACTGATACAATTCAGACAATGGCTAAACCACTCCCAAGACCAAGCAGGCAGGGGTATCATGGAATAAGCAAATACTTTTCCCAATGAACAGGGTAAGAGTTGTTCAGAAATATTTTCTCTATCCTGTGCCACGGGAGAGCTAAACTGCATTAAACCCCTGTGCAGACAACCTTATCCAAAATTAAAGGCTTTTTCCTTACTTTACCAGAGTTACTTTTATGAATTAAGTGAGAGCAGAGAAGGGCTTTAAAACAATTCAGCACATCTACTTTAAATTCAATTTGACACATCCACCTTAAATTCTCAGTTAATTAATTTTAAATTTTGACTGCTATTAAATACAGATTTTTGTGGGAGTTATACAGCTTCAACTTTATGTTTTCACTTGGACATGAAGATTTTAGTTAATAAGCAAAGAGTTCCATTAAAAGCTGAATTCCACCCAGCTCCAGTAACCTGAGGGTCACCTAATCTCAAAGTTCACCCAGAGTGGGCAGAATTTTATTGCTGACCTCAAATGTCAACCCCATTGTTAACTATAATTTTTTTTCCTCCCTATTGCCGTGTCTCTTTATGTCCATTGTTTCTTCCTTTCCCCTCATTTGGGCTGCTTTGTTTTCCTGAGGTCAGAGTGGATGTCAATAAACATATCTGTTGGCTTCCAGGCATGAACTGGGAACCAACGGGGGTCAAGAAACTTTTCCCAGAGAACCCCCATTCCCACAGCAAAATAATAAAACTCCAGACTTTTTTGTCTTGCAGAAATACAAGAAATAAACAAAGATTAATAAAATGAATCCTACGTGGCAGCAAACATTAAATATACATTAAATGATAAAATAAATGAGCAGTTTTATTCCAAATACTATAAATTATACCTGAAAATACCTAACTGATGGATAATTCAGTGAGAAAGAAATCTTAACCAAACATAGCCAAATTCTGACTAGTTTTAAAATAGTTATAATTTTTTTGATAGTAATATATATAATGTCATAGGAACATTGATTCCCAATCAAGTTCCTTGTGCATGTTCTTCTTATTAATATAAAATTCCCTGAAGCCACACAAGGCAAACACACGTAATTTATAAAGAAATATCCTTATTCCAGCAAAAGCAAGTAAATTTATCTCTTGGTTATCCAGGATCAAGGTGAGTTGCTGAGTTTTGCCAACATTCAGCCAGGGTTTATTTCCCAGCTCTGATTCTCTTTCTACCTGGCTCTCTCTGATCACTTCTCATTTCCAGCTTTAATTTAACATTATTAAACCAATATGGCTGAAAATCTTTATTTTTATTCATCTGGATATCTATCTATGTTATTTTTAATGTCTAGTATTGCCTTCTACAGTGTCAGATAAAGAATTCTGCTAAAAGAATCAAGGTCAGAGAACACCTTTACCTGAATGCAATAAGAACTGTCACAGCAATGATGAGTGAGGTGATGGACACGCTGTATCCTACAGTGTAGATGATCCTTATAGTAGAAAAGTAGGATTGCTATAAAGGAATAGAATTATTTGTCACAAAACTTGCAGCTAAGTGACAGCTTTTTTACAGATTCTGGCTGTTTTGCTTTGTTTGGTGCTTCCAATCATTTCATATCCCTGACTGCCTTTTCTTCCCCCTCTTAATCCCACAGCAAAAACCAATTTAAATCCCTTGTTATGTTTCTTTTGTGAAGTCCCATTCCATAGTTACATGGATACAGCTCAATCTGACACCAAAACATGTATTGATCAGGGTGGTTTGAGGCTCATTCAAAAACCATAAACACCAAAGACAACCTTTAATGAAAGCATTGTTAAAAATCAGATGCATTTTTATAAATACTGTATTTTATAGTGTAGTACATTTTATATGCATTTTTATAAATACTGTATTTTATAGCATAGTATATTTTATATGCATTTTTATAAATACTGTATTTTATACTTTTTAATGCTGCTGACAGCTGGCTACATGATGAATACAGAATCCCATCAAACTTTCCCTACATTTCTCCACTTTTCCACTCTCTGCTTCCTTATTTTCAATTTTACCATCTATTCTTCCTTTCTCTTTTTATTGTGTTCTGGTTACTTGGGTTTTTCTGCCTTTTTTTTTCCCCTCCTCTGTTTTTCTTGCTGCCAAACTCAACTGTTACTCAGCCAGAACATCAATCAAAACCCATTTCAATTCAAGTGGCACCTCAGACACGATCTCTGAGTGAGGATAAGTTGACTTCCACTATCACACATGAAAGCAGAAAATAAAATTAATAAGCTCTAGGCTGCAAATCCTTCCCTTCAATCCAACATGGGCTGTCTCTTGGGTCCCATTTCAATGCTTTTATAACCTAAACTCTTCACAGGTGTGCAGAGCATTGCCACAGTTCACTGTGGGGAAGGGGATATACTTGTTTTGAGCCCTAAGTGTAACTGCAGGCATTATATATAGGGGTCCATTTAATTTATTTTAGGTGCTTAAAAATTAGCTGCCTAAATATGAGCAGCTGAGTCTGGAGTAAAATGAGGAATGTGAGAGCCTGGCCACAGGACTGAACTGTTTAAATATTGACACAATCCTGTTTCTTCTCATTCTCTTTCTTTTCTAGTTAATGAAGGGAAAGAAACACCCTCAGAAGACAATTCAACTTATGGGAAGTTGAGAACTTATGGATTTCTGACAGCAAGAAAAAGGATCTGTCACCAGTCCTGCCTTAGCAAGTGCAGGTCATAGAATCTCTGACTGGTTTGGGCTGGAAATGACCTTAAATATCATGTAATTCCAACCCCTGGTTTAGTGGGGTGAAACATTTGGTGCTGAGGACCCTACATCCATGGGTGAATATTTTTCACCATCCATGGGCTGAACATTTAATGCTGGTCAGAACCCACCAGGTGCACCTTGAATTTTTCTTCCAGTTTAGTTTTACCCATAAGAAGATGGGTTTTCCTTTCTGAGAACAGTGAATGCAGTAACTGGGGAGAGCCAAGACATACCCCTGAAAAGCTCCCACCTGATCCTACCAAAGCACTAATAGAGATCCACCTTGGAGTGATTAGACTTGATTTGAACCGTAAATTTTTGAGACTGATGAAGTTGTATGATATGGAAACCAGGCATAGCGGCCTCTTTTTTTTTGCCTAGTGGATGAACTGTGAATTGTATATGATTGTCCAAATTCCTGACTATGTACAATTCCAGCCAAAGCTCAGAGAAGTACCTCAGAGCTGGAAAGCTTGCCAGTAAACCTGGATCCAGCACTCCATGAGGAACATCAAAGCTGTGCTAGACTGACCTTAACTGGCAACAAATCAGATGTGGAAAGCACAGAAAATAATCAAATCTTAACATTGATAAATCTACAGTTGAGGAGTTTGCCTTTAGGTAAAATAATAGAATCATCATAGAATGAGCTGGAAGGGACCTTAAAAATCATCTCAATCCAACCCCCCTGTCACAGGGACACTTTCCACTAGCCCAGGTTGCTCCAAGCCCCATCCAACCTGGCCTTGGACACTTCCAGGGATGGGGCAGCCAAAACTTCTCTGGGCAACCTGTGCCAGGGCCTCACCACCCTCACAGGGAAGAATTTCTTCCTAATATCTAACATAAATCTAACCACACTGGAGATTGTTTTTACCCCAGCAGTGTAAGGAAGCACTAAAAGAAGGGAAGAAAGAGAAGAGTTGCACTTCAGCGTAAGTGTTTATTATGCAAAGCAGCAGGTGCTGAGGCTTAGAGGCTGGAAAGGAAGCTTGAGCTAAACAGGTATAATAGTCAACACAAAAAGTAATGGGAAGTGAAATCTCCCCATGATGATACAAATTATGTTTTTATCCATATTAGTTAGGAATCAAGCAGATAACCTCTAGATATCACCAACTGTCAAAACCTGGCTGAAGAATTATGTCAGATTCTGATCTGCATTACTGACATAAAAAAAGTTGAGATTTTTTTTTTCCTTGATGTATTAGGTATTTTATGCAGGATGAGAAACCCAAACCCCTCTTGTCCTTAGATATTGCTGAATTTGGAACAGAGGTGTTATAGCAGCACATCACTGGTGCTGTGATATTACAAATTCATCTTGCTGACTGATACTGCTGAAATGTCTTAATCCATATTTTATGAACATTTTATGATACATCTCTAGTTGTTATATCTGTAGGCAAGTTCATGATTGTCTGGAATTTGCAGCTGGCTTTGTTTTTATTACACTCTCACACATGAATAATAAAACATTCCTAGTCATTTTACAAAATAAGTGGCTAGAGTCAAATCTGAATTACATTCCACACTTTCAGCTTCAGCTGAGCTTCCCTTTGCAGTGTTCTTGCAGGAATAGAAGGGAATCCTATAACATCAACACACCACTCACTTATTTTTCTGTAATTAAACTTACTTCTTCAAGGGGAATCTCATCTTCTACTGGACAGGCGACGTGGTAGGGAGGGAACGGGTCAGACCAGCCTTTCCTTGTGCAGTTCCTTTTTACTATCCCAGCTGAAACAGAAGCACTTAATTTTTTCCAGTGGAAAGCCACATAATATGGAAAATAAAACCCAGGAGAAAACCTCTGGCTGGTGCAAAGGTTATGCCAGGAGGAGAGGATCATGTTCATTGGCATCTCACAGAGCTGGTAGGACACTTTGTGTGTGTACATTCAGGTCATCAGACACAAAACTTTATGATTTATCTACAGGCAAACAATGGAAAAAGAGGTGAGAGACAGGGGTAGGGGTGGGAAGGAGTAAGGAATTAATTAAATCAGGAAAAAAAGTCCACTGGAGAGGATTGGGAAGCAGTGCTCCATCAGACTTCTGCTTTGTACAGCACTCACCCTTCTCACATACCCCTTCTCATTCCCACCTCCCTTGGGGTTTATATTTTCCTTGCAGACCAGAGGCTGGGATAAGCAGTTCCTTCTATGAGGATAGCACATTTCCATAAAAAGATTTATGACTCAGATGAAGGATAAATCCGAGAATCCCATGGCAGGAAATGAATCTGCCCAGATGAAAGGGACTTTACTTATCCCTCGTTTATAACAAGCATGTGTTGGGTGAGGCAGAGCTCGGGCTTTACAGCTTCTTTTTCTTGTGGAGCTGTCAAATCCAGGTCTTTCCTGGAAGATGGTTTCCTCCTTGTGGGCTCACAGTCTGTTCCTTGCCATATTCACCCACAGAGCAAGCAGACACCAAGGCATTAGTTTGCAGCTTTGCATTTGACCAAACACACATGCTGCTTCAGGGACTAAATTCTGCTTTGTATCTCCAAACTTGCTCTTAAAGAACAATCACATTACTCATTCCTCTGCCTTTCATTTCATCCCAAACCAATCAGAGCACAGATCTCCAAAAGCCCAGTGCTTAAGTTCTGACCTAGAGAACCTCATGTGAGCTTTGTCAAAAACTCACACAACAAGCTGATCCCAAAATCCATGGAAACTCATGGAATCACTCTATTTATTTCAGTGGGTTTTGGATCAGGGCCCCATCACAGACTATGGATAGTACTTAAAATGTGAGCAGAACCTCTAAGGTCCCTCAGATGCTACTAAAATCTTTGCAGTGTTGATCTGATCCAGTTGTAGAGTAGGAACATGCAACTTTCTGTCTTCACCCCCACTTTTTAGAAACTCTCCTCCAGGCAACAGAAGAACAGGAGTACAACCCTGATAGTACATCACCTGGCTCCTTCATGAAGTGAAGGATGATGTTTGGGCATGGTAAGGCAAGAGTCTCTCCAGCATCTGCCTCTGGCCAGCACAGTAATTTGTCCCAAGTTCTCTTGCAACCTCAGGCAGAAAGTGAAATATATTTTTGAGCATAATTATATTTGAGCAAAATAAAACCCCAAACCTTTTTAAACTTTGCCACTCCACCGCTTACATATCTTGCAAAAAATAGTTTAGCCACAATTTTTATTCTATAATGAGAAATAAACACCCCCAGAGGATTATTTAATCTGCTTTAGTTAGACCCACTGTGTTAGACTGGGGTGGGTTTTTGAAATAATGTAATAAATGAAAAGGTATTATGGAAATGGGAGGGAGAGTAATTCTGGAAGAAAGACAAGGTAACAGTACTTTTTGTTGTGTTATCCTATTTTTAAAGACCAAAACACCCTCACAAACATGCAAGTATGATGCCATGACAGCATCCAGTTGGATAAAGAATAGGACAAGGACAAGAGGATTCACTCAGATAAATTGACTGTCCATATTATAATGGGAAAGACTGTGGAAAAAAGAATTTAAAGGAAAGGGAATAGATGGAACAAGAACTGACAAGACAACAGGTATGTGGGACAATGAGTAAAACCCTCAAACATGCCCATTGGCAGCCTGGCTGTGTCCTCACTCTGCTGGTGGGTCACTTCTCCCTCCCTCCCCTCATCCCTCACACATGGACACCTGCTGATGTTGCATTTCCACGCTCTTGTGGGTCCTCCAGACATTCAGCCTCATTTTTTTTCAGCTCTGTCATAAAATCACATTCTGGGTGGACATTTCCAGCAACCTGCAGGGAGTAGACAATTAGTAAGGAGGTGTTGGATCATCAGTCATTAAGTCTTACTTTGGCAGCTAACGAGGTTGTTTTAAGGACATAAAATGCTATCTTAGGGTTCAGTATCCAGAGGGTACCACAATCTCTGCACAAACTGCAACACTTTGAGATCACAGAATCACAGAACAATTGAGGTTGGAAAATGCCTCCAAGATCAAGTCCAACCAGCCCTGTCAGATCCACCACTAAAGCAAGTCCCTAAACACCACATCTACATGTGTATGACCCCAGCTGAGCTCTGCTAAAGGCGGTAGAGCTGTAATACTTTACATCAGAGTAAACCATCAGGCAGTAGAGATGTCAGAAGATGGTAGCCACAGGTCTGGAAAGTGTATAAGATTCCTCTGTCTGTGTTCATAATCCAAGAACTCTTTGCTAGGGCCTGGCTTTGAGTGCAGGACTCATTTCTACCCTAAATTTAGCTAGACCCTGCTGAATCTGACCCCAGAAAGACAGACTGCACTGCACTTGGTCAGGCTCCTTTTCATAACAGTGGAGGGCTCAGCACTGCACGACGTGCTGCAGAGCCCACCTGTGCATGGAAAAGCCCCTGCCAACCTCCAAAGAAACACCACCTTGGAATCACACACAGTTCCTGCAAAATTGTCTTCTGAAAGAGTTTTTCACTCTAAAAGGAATTAATCTGTTCTCTCCCTTCTGCCATCTGCCTTTCTTTACAGAGGGTGGGAGGCAAAACTCCTTTCTTTGGAAAAAAAAACCAAACTCTGCACCAAAGCATTTGTTGGTTTGGCATGAAGGTGTTTTGATAGCAGGAACTGTTTAGTTGCTTTAGTCCTTGTTTAGACTTGAGCTTGTGTGGGGACCAGAAGAGAATGTGAAGGCCTCCAGAGAACCTTGGCCACCAAAGGACAAATTCTGCAGCAGCCTGTTACACACCACAACTGCTGTGGTTGTACCCGCTGGGTAGAAATACACATTTAATTTTATGTATCACAAAGAAAGGAATATTTGTCTTATCCAACCATTGTCCCCAGTCCCAGAAGACCAGTTGCCATAAGAGACACTGATTTAGCTCTGGTCCCAGGCCACTGGTGCTGGTGTGCTCTACATGAGTGAACACAGATATAAAAACACACAGACCCATCAAGAAAATAAACTCAGGATGAGACTTGCGTGGTGAGCAGGTGGCTGGCATATGGCTCAGTTTTCTTCCACCCAGGGAGGATTAATATTCAGGGAATTTTGAAAATAAATATCTGGCTTTCAATTCATTCAAAGGGCAGATTGTACCCGTTCCAATAAGCTGGTGTTTCCCCTCCATGTCAATGCCCACATCTCCTGTTGGTCTACAGAGCATTTGAACTGCTTATTGTCTAACAGCTTGAGGCTCTGAGGCTGCTGGAGAACACTGGATTAATTGCACAATATTTGTTTTTTCTGGGGTTTGGACCCTGGTACTTGAAAATTCCATTTATGCCCTTCAAGATCATCTGCTTCCCATTTACTGCTCTTTTAGGAGGATGTGGTTTTCTTGCCAGATTTACAGACAGCAGTGCCACGGATCAGTTTAAGGCAGCAATTTAGAAGTTCTTGAGGCTGAATGAAGTGTGATGCCCCAATGATGTCAGAGAGATCAGTCAAAAACAAGAAGCCTGGGGAGCCCCTCAAATCAACTAAGATATGTAATGGTAGGTAGAATGAGAGAAAATTGGCATCTGTCGGGAAAATCTTTGTTCACTTGATATCTCTCTTCATGCCAACATATATTCTATCCTCCCTTGTACTCACCCTGGACAATGAAGGTCATCTATGCTGGAAAGCTCCCTAACCACGGTGTGTGACAGCTATTGCACAAAGTAGCTTTATTAGTCAGTAGAAAAAGAGTCAAACCATTTACTGACAATCAATTCTACCACATTCTCTTGGTTCAATGAACTGTGCCCAGAAAAACTTCACCAGGCAGGAAATGTACCCGTTTGCACTGTCCTAAATTATTTCTCCTGGCAAAAAAAAAAAAAAAATATTACTAGATCTCGCCTGTCAAAACTCTCTTTGCTCCCTGAAATGTTCATGGCAAGAGCAAAGCTTGTTTGGCTTATTCACCAGTCCAGGCAACCTTTTTTTTTTTTCCATTTTCGATTTCTAAGTCTCCAGACTTGTGAGAACATATTACCACGTGTGTCTCAAATAAAAAGATGAGGCTGATCAAGCACCAGGGATTCAAATTATTGCCTCTTCCTTCAAGAAGACCCAACCTTAAGAGATGCTGTGGCAGTTTATATGCAAGTCATCACTAAGCACTGCTTGAATAGACACTGAATGTAAGGTCTTCTCTGACACCAACTCAGGTAAAATAAATTGAAAATATTCATTTGGCTTCTGAAGCCTTTAAAACCTCTCCAAAAGTTGAGTTCAGCTCTACCAGAAGAAGTATATGATCACTTACTCCAATAAAACCAGATGGCTGTTTTTCCACCATTATATACTGAAATAAGAGTTGTTTACCCATCCTCTATTATAATAACATATGCAACACATGCTAGGAGATTTTTATTATACACTAACACATAAAATTGTTTCTGATCAGTGCATATTCATAAAACAACCAATATAACTTTATAGAAGAAAGTGTTATTTCTCTTGGGTAAATGGGACAGGTCTCTTACAGAGACCTTCAGTCATATTTTAACTATTAGCGTGATATTCTACTTACAAGCAATTATATTTATCTACTCCCACTACAGGGGAGTGGAGTTTGTCTCAGAGATGATACAGAGGAAGCTGTAGCTTCACATCAATAAAAAGACTTTTCAGTCATTTCAAGGTGCTTTATTTTTCTCAATCCACAAAAAGACTTCTGTGCCCACCCCCCCTTCATGAAATGTTCCTTCAGAAATGAGATTCCCAGGAAAGAAAAAAAAAAGATATAGAGGAAGGATCACAAAAGGAAGATGCTGAAAATGTAATTACTCTCAAAAACAAAGAAAATATCCTTCCCCCACTTTGCACGGACATTTCCTGATATCCGTGTGATCCTGAATGCTGGTTTATTAATCTTTGTCCAAATCAAAATATCAGCAAGACCTCTGAGCTTTTAAATCATTTAAATATTTCTAATTCTTCCATAAACATCCCTGCTGCTTCCATTTTTTACCTGAAGCATCTCAGCTGCTCACATATTAAATCATATTAATACTACCACCAAAGCAGCTGAAATTGTAACTAATAAGACAGTATAATCTGAAATTTAAAAAAACTATCAAAACTCAGCTACTCTAATGTAACAACCCTCCTCCAGTTTCTTCTTGTCACTGTCTTAAAGCCTACACACACATACACAGAAAAAAAAAAAGGAATTCTGCCAATTATGTTGTTTCTCTACAGTGAGTGTGGGATAAGAAAGCAATGAAATGAATTGATATAAAGATCCTGCAATGTGTGTCCCTTCTGCTGCTGCTCACACTTTTCATAGCATCTTGCCTTTTTTAAGCAGAATCCAAAGCAAATAAAGAGAAAAGAGAAAGAAACTGTATCTACCCATCTGCTCCAAGGAGGAAATAAACAATTATTGAAACACAATGAAGTCAAAGTTTTGTTTGTTTGGGTTTTTTTCCATGCAATTACTTACAAGCACTGCCAGACTCAGGGTGTGCAGAGCACAGTGGTATAAAGCACAAGAGTTCATGTTCCAAAGCAAGAGTCAGACTTCACTCCCTTAGCCTTTCTCAGCATCTCTCACCTGCTTTTCGACCTCTCTTTCTCCCCCCAGTTGCACATTTGCAACATTTATCTTTTTGCACAGAAGTGACGTAACAGGACAGTGGAGAGGGAAATAAATATTAACAATTCTCCAAGCTGTGTTTGAGCTTTCCAACTTTTTGCTGCATTCTCAGTGACTGGACTGGACGACTTGAGTGATTGATACCAAGGTTAGGGGAATCCTATACCTTCCTGGCAAGACCCCTGATTCTTTCTTTAAACCCCAAATCATTTTAGGAGCTGTAAATGTTGCTAATCCTGTATTGAAAAACATTACTGGCACAAGAGAAACACTATCCTAACAGCTAATGTTGATGTCAATTTATTCTAATTCACATTTTTCAGTGCAGCTCCAGTGTATCTGTGTGTGGGTGTAGTGACCATGGTGCTGCACTTTAAAACACAGGATCAAAAGCTACTCACAGGCATGTGAACAAAAATTCTGCTGGGTGCCCGTTGGACATTGATTTGAAGGCAAAATTCACAAGGGATCCTTCCCACTTTGCTTGAGACTTCTGAAAGTTCAGTGTCTAAATCTCAACCCATCAACTCCTTTAGTCAAAGTATTGAAATATGTGCACTCAGCTCATTCATCTCATCCTAAGCATTAAATGAAAATCTATTTAAATCTATTTTACAACATTCTCTTGTCTAATCTAATGTCTAGAAGCCATAAATTTGGCTGTACTCCAACCCTGCTGGATGTGTATCAAAGTCTGTCCATCAATCCATACTCTCTTGAAGGACTTTACATTCCATATCAACATTAAGCAAATGTTAACATTGCAAGATCAGAGATTCAAGATGTGAAAAATCTTTAAAGCATTGTTCTCTGCTCTTCTATTCTCATATCCTGCCATTCCTCAAAATCAATTCTTAACCCCAATTCCCATCTTCCCATCTTCGCAATGGTCCATCCTACAACCCCACTTTCACTGCTCTTTGTCCATCTTCCCCACTCATCTTTCTGCACTTGTTTCAAATGACTTCTTACTGCTTATCTACATGGATTGGGAGTGGGAATTCTGAGACCATGGAAAGAACCCTCTCATCTCCCAGAGTCACCACAGCTATGAGGAACTAAAGCTGTACCTACGCAGGGCTCGACTACATTTGGAAATATCTGTGGGGATGAAACTTTCAGGGTTTGTTTGTAGGTTGGATCTGTGAGGGAACTGAGAACACAAGAAGGTGTTTTTGGAGAGCTGAAGTTGGCTAGCTTTCCATTCAGTGTGTGCAAAAGGCTTTGTTTCATTATTCCTCAAATACTTGTACCTTGCCTAAATTAGACAAGCTTTCACAAAGCTGTCTAAAACAAAAATTAGAGCTGTGCTCCTGTCAATTTTAATAATTTTTTTTTTTTTTTTGCAGAGGATGAAGCTCTAGACCTTGTAAATGAACACTTACAAATGTATTTATCGTGGGCAAATTCTGTTTCTCCCAACCCTATTTCAGAAGCTACATAATCTTAAGAACTGAAAGATTTCCCTGCAGAGGTGTAACACAGAAAAATTTCAGCCCATAATGCTAAATCTACTTTTTAAGTTGGTAAAATTATGAAAAAAGCCATCGAGGGAACTTAAACCTACAGAGTCTTAATTCACCATGACATAGGTCTTCAAATCTGATGACAGTGCTCAGTACATCCCAGTGTTTTGCTGATTCCCTCCTATTCCCATTTGAGGAGGTGAACAACCCAAATAGAACTGGCTTTGGGGAGCCTGGAGAAGAGGAGCTTCAGGGTGAACTTACTGTAGCCTTCCAGTACCTGAAGGGAGACCACAAGAAAGATGGAGAAGGACTTTTTACAAGATCATTTAGAGATAGGAGAAGAGGAAGTGACTTCAAACTGGAATAGAGTAGGTTTAGATTAGATATTAGGGAAAAATTCTTTACTGAGAGGGTGGGGAGGCCCTGGCACAGGTTGCCCAGACAAACTGTGGCTGCCCCATTCCTGGAAGTGTCCAAGGTCAGGTTGGATGAGGCTTGGAGCAACCTGGGCTAGTGGAAGGTGTCCCTGCCCATGGCAGGGAGTTGGAACTGAATAGTCTTTAAGGTCCCTTTCAACACAGGTTATTCCATTATATGATTCTATGATATGTTCCTAAGTTTTAAGCTACTCAAAGTTCTTTCAATAGTAAGACAAACAGGGACTTTCAGCTGTCTCACAAATATTTAATACTGTTATAATCCTAGAAAATCTTATAAAACTATAGTGATCCATGCTGTCCTCACAAGATCGTGCCAGTTACAGCATTTGGACACATTCCCTCTGCTTTCCTTCCCAAAGAGATTGCAGTTTCAAGAAAAATATGTGGCTGAGCATCCATGATGTTTCCTGTAATGTATCAGTTCTATTAAGGCTAAAAGCCTTTGGGCTGTCCCACAAATGCTCTACTGATCATGCACCCTACAGCCATTTCAGCCACTGTTTGAAAATGAATCATAAACAGACTCGTTTCAGAGGAGCAACATCTCACATTTCACGGGGATGCACTTTTTTGGTCCCTGTATTAGAAAAATAAGTTGCCTGTGAGTAAGCTTTTGGTGTCCACATCAGAATTTTCCATTTCAGCCACCACATCTGAGCCATTCTGTGTGTTTATTCTGTGCTGTTGAAGTCATGCCTATAAAAAACACACAAGGCATTATTTGCCACTTTTCAACGTCCCAGAGAACAGAGAGAGCCCAATGTAAGATATTTCACAAGGTTTTCATTTTTAAGGGAGAGTGGGCACTGGTGTAGAGGGGTCTTGTGCTGAAATCCACCACACAGGAACTCTGATGACCATGGATCATTTTGGAAAACCTGGCTTTTCTGTATTTTCAGCCTTATTCTGCCAATCTGCAGCACAGACATTCCATTAAAATGAGATCCTTCCTACTGTCGCTGTTTTGTGCAAATTTCCAGCTGTTTGTGGTTAAGGAGAAAGACATGTCTTAAAAAAAAAAAAAAGGACTTATGAGTCTTTTCTTTATTATTATTTCACGAAAACGACTATTTTTTTCGTTTAAAGAAAAAAGTTTCCTCCATAACTAACAGAACTTTGAGCTGCTTACTTTCACCATAAAAGCACATCTGAAGGACCAGTTTTCCACAGGCACAAAGTTCTCACTTCCTACCAGTTCTATCCAAATTTTTCAGCCTTGAATACCACCACCTCTGCAAGTCTGCTCCCACACTTCTCCTGGGCAGAAGCAGGCACTCAGTAGATCAGTAATTACTGCATTTTCTCTCCACTCATCACCTCCATCACCAACACACTCCCTATTCCATGCAACTCCTCTGCCAAGTTTTCTAGTGGTGGCATCTTGCCTTTTTGGATGGCAGAGCTGCAGAGGAGAGATGGAATATGCAGCAAAGCAGGCATTTTTCTCCCTGCAGGCTCTCCCAAAGGTGAGAGCCTGACATTTTCACAACTCTCTCAAGGTTTCCCTTGCAGCTTTTTGCAGAATGGTTTCAGTTTGTTTTACCAGCTCGTGTAGTTTGTAAGATCCTGGCTGATTCCACAACAGCCCTGCCAGCCCTGTTTCTAAACTCTTCTCCCTACACATAGAACAGCATCTCAAAGCTTATATCAAACTCTTAGGTTTTTGCTGCCACTTTTTCTCCCTCTGCAAGATCCCCTCCATTATCATAAAATCCTAGAATGGTTTGGGTTGGAAGGTACCGTAGGGATCATTGCATTCCAACCCCTGCCATGGGCAGGGACACCTTCCACTAAACCAGCTTGCTCAGAACTCCATCCAACCTGGCCTTGGACACTTCCAGGGATGGGACAGCCACAACTTCTCTGGGCAAATTATTGTAGCTACAAAGACATTTACACACAGATAAATCTACATCTGAAATGTTCAAGGCCAGGTTGGATGGGGCTCTGAGTAACCTGAGATAGGGGGAGGTGTCCCTGCCCTTGGAGGAGGGTTGGAACTGAATGATCTTTAAGGTCCCTTCCAACCTAAACCATTCCATGATTCTACCATTCTATGATTTTAACTTTCTTATGAAGGAAAGCTGGAGGAAACCTTAATACCATAAATCAGTATTTCGTAATTTACCTGAAAAAAACCTAATAATTAAAAAACCTAACTAATTTCATTGATATATAAAACCCATGGATCTTCCAAAGCTAAAAAGAAACAATTTGAGTTAAATAGTTTTAGCTTCTGAGATGACATTGCTCCAGCTTCATATTTCCCAAGGATCATGCCCAGTAAAAGATATTGTAATTCAACATTGAGAGAAGAGCTACAAGTGACATTTTCCTTGAACTCTTTAATCCTATCAGCAATGTCTAAAGTGAAAATGGAACCAGGACTGCTTTTGTGGCCTCCCAAGGCCAGAGCCATGGGCACACAGTGTCATGGTGAAGTTCGTGATGCTGAAGGTAAATTTATGAAGAAATAAAAGGAAATTTCAGTGTCTACCATTGTCTCACAGAGTCTCTTATTGCCATGACAATTCTTTAAAACTATTAAAATTTAGAGGAAAGGCGTGGGAGGGGAGGGGAGGAGGAAGGCTGGGTCTAAGTCATTTAACCACAGCTCCAAGAATAGGCGATTTTGTTGTGCAGACGTGACAAACGAATGTTTAGTTTCCGAGGAAAAAAGAGAACGTTCGAAGCAGGGAAACTTCAGACAACCCAGAACTTGAAGGAGTTTTATAAATGGGGCCTTGAATTCTTGTTTTAACACTGAAGAGGAAAAATATGCAAAGTTAAAGTTATGCAGTTGAATTAATTTTTCTTTGCAGTGTCAGAGGACGATCATTTTTTCTCACACCATGAATTAAACGAGCGGAGGGATTTCAACTAATGCTGTTTAAATGTAGCTCAAAATGGAGAACATTAACTCTTGATCACATTAAATGAAGCTAAATCTCGTTAAGCACTTGTGCACTGGGGGTTTGCAGCACTGTGCTCGGTT